GGTTTATAATGAGAAAACAGCGGTGGAATTAACCTGGTGATGGCTTAGCACACTGAGGCGGGAAGTGTGGCTGCATAAAACCCCTCTCTTTCTCAATATTGTCCTTCAAGGAGGAAGAAGGGAAGCGTAGGTGAAGATTGGCCAGATGGGAGCTGAAAAGGAGGTTCAGAAGCAGTGCTTAAATCATAAATTCAGATCCAGCACACGCCTGACAGTGTGTGAAAGTCAGGAGCATCTGTCAACTGTTTAGTTACCGTCTCTTCTCTTGTTAATAAGTATCCTCCTCACTGAAACTCCCAGCACAACCGACACAGCACAACAGGCAATCTAGGCCAAAATGATTAAAACCCAGCAACCTAAAACTATATTGCTGAGCTCCCTGACCTCAGTGCTGGACATCCCTCATCTCTCAGGTACCTGAAAACAGATGCAATACTCCAGGCCTGCAATCTTTCTTTCAGAGACTTCCGAAGCACAGCCCATGAGGAAAAGACTGCGGAAATCACAGTGGCTTTATCTACAGAAGACATGGTAGTCACTTCCAAATATTTAAAAGGCTGCAGAGAGGAAAGGAACTGTCTGTTCTGTATATCCACTGGGCATACGATAAGGACTAAAGCCTTAAAATGCTTCAAGGGAGATTCAAGTTAGACATGATCAAATACTCTGTAAGTATAAAAACACACTGAATGGATTGCCTGGGGATGGTGGAAAGGGTCCATCACTGGAGATCTTCAGGACTTGATTAGACTCTAAGTTAGAGTCTCACTTCTCTGTGAGGAATAGGTATACTTAGGGCGAGGAGATGGAGTAACTGGGATAGATAGAGTTGATCTCTGAAAGTCATTTCTCACTATGAATAGGAGCTTAGTACTGGCTTCTTCTTTCAGGAAGGTTAGGTCCTTCCTGAAAAACTCAGCAGTATAACAAAGAGTTGAATAAGGTAAGGACTGAAATCTCTTTGCCTCACAGTGTTCATGTCTCCACCTAGGCAGATTTGAATCTGGTCTGCGCAAAGGCAGGTAGCTCTGTGGCCATCCGTGCTGTACTTGTTACATTGCTAAATGGAAGATGTCAGACCTTGCCTGCCACATTTCATGGCCATCCACCTTTGCCTCACCAAACAGGAAACCTCTCCAGATATGGTGATCAAATTTTGAAAGTTAACTAGCTGGAGGAGGGGAGGGGAAGAGGGAGAAAAAGCCCATAAGAACTTCATGAGGTTTATACTTAATTTAAGGGAAGCAGTACTGCTTTTACCACAGAGAGCATTCATTTCTTTCAAACTTTAACAGCAAATAGCAGATACTAACTTAGTCATTTCAGAGAAAATCACCATCAGGCTGTATTTTGAATGCTAAACTAATGGGGCTATCTGAAGCAATGCACATTTTGAGTTTGAAGAAAGGATACATAATTTGGGATACAATTTGAAGAGAGACCTTGACAGATTCTAAGCAGGGTGCATCAGAGCATGGAATGACTGGAACTGCATTTTATTTGGCTTAAAATGGCTGAGCACAAGGAACTAGGGAATCCAGGGATAAAGCTGCAAAGATTTTCATCTGCTGGTCATCATAACCAAGTGTGGCCCAGGTAATGGGACTACCAGATGATAGAATCAGCTGGCCGACAGCTGTATAGATAATGCCAGTGTCTTCCCAGCCTATTTGCCTAGGGGACATACTGAGAAAGTGTTCTTACTGGAAAACCCCCACCACACAACTGGCCAGCAGGGGAGAGGGTTTAATGGTTTGGTGGAGTAGTGTGATTCAGCTGCATTAAAGCTGAAGGATGAAAGTGAGGAACTAGTTGAACTAATTTCTAGAAAACATCTGCACAATAAGTAATAACAACAATAACTTGCTTTTATAGGTGTTCTTCATGCTTAGCTTTTCAAGGTCTTCCAGAGAGAGGCATGCACAATAATCTCTATTCAAGTGACATAAAATCCTGACATATGGGTAAAGTTATTTGTCCTCAGCTAAAAAGCAGGACAGAGGAAACAGTTCATCTTCTGAGACACAGCCTGATTCTCTGTCCAAGAAAACTGTCTCCCCAGAGAGGGAAAGGAAGATAACATTTCTGAATGCCATGGAGCTTAACATCTCTCATGATGTTGCTTTTACAGCAGGGAAAACTCAAACTCCTGAAGTAAATATTACTATTTTTAATGTGTGTTCTGAATTAACTACTGTTCCTGTTATTCACTTACTCCTTACGCTAATCTCCTTATTTACCCATATCTCTCTTATATACACACATGCACATGCATAGGCAAATTCATCCCAGACAACTTCTCCCCCATCCTGCCAACATCTCATCATATCAGCACAACAGCATTGAGAGAGGATTTTTTTACTATATTCTAAAATATGAAGCCAGTATTTTGACAGTGACAAATCATAAGCATCAATTTGCAAGAGCATTTTAATGAGAACACCAGGGATAAGTTGCTTCACCATTTTTCCATTCCAATGGAAAACAGAAGTTATTTTTTCTTCTTTTCTTGTTACCTTTTTACCTTTTTTCCTTTCCTTTTTTTTTCCTTTTTCTGTACCTTTGGCTACAGCTTATGATGCTCCTATGCAGGCAGGATTAATGTCATTCATAAGATGCAGTCCCTTCAGTCTAAGAACATTTCATTGCATGAAAAGGTTTCTGGGTAATTGTTTTATTTTGATGTAAGCTGTTAAAATATGGAGAAAACACTGTCTAATTATTTGAAGATAGAATCCAGGCTGGGTCATGTCTCTTTATTTCAAGGCTGAATCTACTTTAAATTGATGAGTTGAGGGACTATTGAAGGAATTTTATTCTCAGTAGTCGTGACAAGAGAATGAGGGAGGTGGGAGTGAAAGCTAGATTCATTCCGAGCAGCTTTCCCTCCAGTTCTGCTGAAGGTGTCTCTTAGCTGTTTCTCACTGCAGATCCAGTGCCTACAGGCTTGGTTTGCACTTCCTTTTATTATTGCTACTGTTTTTCTCAGAAGCGTTGAATCATGAAAGTCATCTGTGGGAGAAAGTTATTTCAGATAAAGAAACCTGGACTCAGTTGCTGTCAGTAACCTCCACACTGATGCAGGAGCAAGAGACAAACGCAGCCACTCTCTCCTCCAGGTCTCTCTCCCTAGAAACTGAGACGTGAAACACACTTTAATTTTGCTCTGCACCTTCTGGCAGAGAAGCTGAGTCTGTTACTCGGTGTGCTGAGGGTTTGGTCAGTGAGCCTAGGACCTAAGATCAGGTTAAATCCACTTTTCTTTGACTTGTGACTAGTGCAGATTTTGACTATCTCCAGGGGCAAAGCTGCAGCCCAATAGCCCTCCTCCGTCTCCTTCTCCTGTCATGGATGCCTCTTCTTCAGGGGAAGACAGAGATGCTTTTCTTCAGAGCTGAGAGGGTACAGCATGTAGGTGTGTAGGAGAGTGTGAGGCTGTGCACTGCGTCTGTGTAGACAGTACAAGGAGCGTGTGGGTGGGTAAAGAGGGAAGAGGGCATGTGGCTGTCAGAGGGCAAACACATGTCTGCACAGCTCCTATCAGCATCCCATGCCGCCTGGGCACCACCTGCTCAGCTCAAAGCCTTTCCTAGGTGCCTACCGTTGTGCAAGGGTTCCCTACAACCCAGGGAGGCTTTGAACCTTCCCTTTGCCTCAGAGGCTGGTCCACACGTGGGCGGCTGCTGAGGCAGCAGGAGACGCGTCTAAGCCTCTGGCCTCCCCTTATTCCCATCAGTGTGGGAAGGAAGAGCTCCCTGTGGGTGAAGCAGGTAGGACCTTCTCACCTCCCTGCTCTCACAATGGGACTTGGCAGGATCCCAAAGCCCCAGAGTCTACCTGAGGGCATGGAGTCCCCTGGGTAGTGCTTAGAGAGAGGCAGGGAGAGGCCCTGTGGGGCCCGCAGGAGGCCCTGAGGGGCAGAGCTGGGCGCTGAGGGGCAGAGCTGGAAGCTGAGGGGCAGAGTCGGGAGCTGAGGGGCAGAGCCGGGCACTGAGGCATGGAGATGGGAGTTGAGGGGCAGTTTAAGGGAGGCAGAGAGGACAGGACAAGGACAGAAGGCGAGCTGGCCAGGAACAGCGGACGACAAGGAAAAGCACAGGAGAGGTAGAGGCGGAGGAAGAGAGAGGAGGACAGGGGCAGGACAAGGACTGGAAAGGACAGGGGCAGGGACAGCAGGAGAGAGAGTCAGAACAGGGCCGGGGAGCTGTGCTCCTGCCCGGCTGCCGGGGGTGGGAGAGGGCGGCTTGGG